ATATCATATAGCTGCCATACAAATGTTTGATAAATTTTTAGAAAAAAACTTATAACTTTGCTGTTTTTTAACATTTTTGCACCATTTTTTAGATATGACCATTTTATTTTATTTCTGAATTTTGGTAAAAATTTTATGAAAATCGGACGACTATATCATATAGCTGCCATAGGAACGATCGGGAAATTAATAGAAAAAAAATTATAGATTCGTTGTTTTTCAACGTATTTTCATCTACTCCGTGATATAAGCTTATTTTATTATTCTAGAATTTTGGTATAAATTTCAAAAAAATCGGACAACTATATCATATAGCTGCCCTAGAACCGATCGGTAGATGTAGAGAAAATGTAAAGGTGTGAATGTAAAACTGTAACTGTCAAACTGTAAACATAATAAGTATAGGTAAAATGTAATGAAACTCTGTTTTGTGTGTGTCTTCAGCATTAGAATTTATAATATATATATAAAAACCAATCTGCAAGGGTATACAAACTTCGGCGTGCCGAAGTTAGCTTCCTTTCTTGTTATTATTAATTTTAGTATATATTTTAAAACAAATTTGTATTTTTTGAAATTATTTTGAATGTTTTTTACTTCTGATTTACAAAATAGAATTTACCAAATGTATTGAGTGCGCTCTCATGTTTGGTTTGTCAATTTGTCCTATTCATGTTTTTCTATTTCAATAAATCCAGATCCCTTCTATTTTATTTGCTGTTCTTGTCTGAGCTTGGGTATGTAGTTGTGGCCAGGGCTCGTTTTCCTCCAGAGCCTCATCTCCAACAGCATTCCCGCTTTCTCTGCCCTCCACCATTTGTATCCCCTCTCTCGTGGACAAGCTGGTCTTGCTGCGTTGATCGCAGCGCTTTTGTCGTCATCAGACGGCCATCGTCATCCCCAAGCTCATCCTCATCCCCAATGCCATTCGCAACCGCATCCCTAAAGTCCTGGCCATTGTCGTTCGTCCTGCGTTCTTATCGCTGAGACGCTTGCAAGCCGCTGCTGACTCTAAATAATCCTTTCCCTGCGACATAAAAAAAAAAACAAGGAAAAAAGAAAGGCAAAGGAACACACAGAGAGAAAAGTGGCAGCCGCCGCAGATGAAACGAGTGCAGAGGCGGGCGGCGGACTGCGAGAGGGGGGCTGTAAAATCCAAGTTAGTGCGCATAAATCAAGCCTTTAAAACGTGCCTCGCAACCGAAATGTCCGCCAAGGATGCACACAGCCCACTCCGCCATTCGCTGCCGCATCCCATCCCAACAGCCCACCAGCGGCACCAGCTACTCCTCCCTTGCGTAGCCACAACATCGTCGCAGCCATCGACGTTGGCCCAGAAGTTGTGGTGGCTCAGTTTTCCGTATGCAATTTTATGCAACTGTGGCACATCCGCCCCCATTTCCACACTACTCCCCCAATCCCCGCCAGAGATTCCCGGCCCGGGCCTGTGGTCGCATGTCTGAAATTGTTTACAACTGCATAAAATTTATAATCTTGAAGAATTTATATATTTATTTATTCCGTGCTGTTCATTACAGTTCAGCTAAGGCGAAGCCGCAAGGAAATCAGTGCCGGAATAGTCGATGGATGTTGCAGATGAGTCTGGGGAGTCAGGACTTCACAGCCATCAACACATTGTTAATCAGACATGTGATTTCCACTGGAGCCCTAAAAGGCTTCCCAATTAAGAAAGATTTACGCACTCAGACACGTTTTGAGTCCCTGATTTGCTGGTAATTATTATTTAAGCATTCGCAATTTTCGGACAAAGGCCTGTGTCCGCTCAGGGCTTACGTTTTAATTAAATTTCAATTGAGCAATGTCCGAGAAGCACGAACAATACTGAACAATGCCAGTTTGCCCTGATGAATTACAAAAATAATTACAAGCTCATGCCAAATGTAAACAAATGCCGAAGCAAGTCCAAGGGCCTCAGCACATCTTAGGTGTAAATCCAATAATAATTGCCCAGTGGAAATTCAATAGAAATTGACAATTTCTATAAGCACTCGAAAGTCAATTCCTGGAATTCAATTAACAAAAAATAGACTCGATTGTTGTGCCACAAAATAAAATCAAATCAAATATGAAATGACAAAGCACCATTAGACTCTGAAGGCCACTTCAATTTTCCAAACTAACAAACAAACAAAACGAGTCGCTCCTCACAGCTATTCAGCTGTGGAAGTGCAAGGAAATGCACTAAAGTCCAAGAAAATCGACAAAAATCCCTTAAAATCCTGGCCCAGTGCTCCCTTCACTCCTTGGCCTGCAACAAGGGGAGCGCATGATATTTTCTGCCAGCTTTCCCATGATGGAAACGAAAGTGAAAACAAATGAAAGTCGTGCGAGGGAATACATTAAAATGAGAGTTCCTTTGACCGGGTCTCAAGTGAAAGCTCACAGTAGTATAAATATTCATGGACCAAACGTATACGTATGTATATCTGTATAGAGGTTCCCCCAACTGCAAAAGTTCCCCTTCATGGGAGTGATTATGGAATCTAGGTGAAATTATAAGAAGCGTTGCATTCGGTTGAAAGATATTGAATTTCCAGTCCACCTGCTTTGTATTTTTAATTGAAAATACTGAACTCGAATTCGGGTTTTTGCCTAAGAGGATTTTCTCGACCCCAACCTTTTACTTTTAGGATCCATTTATTCAAAAATACATTTTCACAGTAGGGTTACGTTAAATAAATCTGTAGAACTTAATAAATTTAGTCAAGAAGTAGAGAGCTTCATTTGAATGCATAAATTCAACATATTTGTTCTTGTTCCTTAAAAAATTTTAAAATGTTAAAAAATATATATATATGCTTTGCCAATTGTTTTCCATTTCAGAGCCCATTCATACTCGGACCTTGTGCACCTGGCTGACTTTTGACTTTGGCCAATTTATCGATCCGCAATCCCTGCCGGAAAGCGGCCAAATATTTGCATCTGTCATTACGCAGGCTGGGTCAAGTGGGCGGAGTCGGTGGGTTGGTTGCTGGCTGGTCCGATTCGGTTATATGGAATCATAAAAGTAATTAATTGATATATGCGTGCTGGCGTAATTGCCCGGGTAGTAGGACGGGTAAGAGCGGAGATAAAGAGCACCGGGGATCCGCGCAAATATGCAATGGGATGCGTAATGAAAGCATTGCAATTTTTCAGCTTTTTGCCGCCACTCTGCCCGGCCACCCGCAATCCCCCAAAGAGTCAAGGATATGTCCGAGTCCGTGTCCGGCTACGAGTCTGGGCCCGGGCACGGATATTACGTAATGAAAGTTAACAATTACGCCCCCGTGCGTGGGCTTCAATTATATTTTTGAGTTGTGGCCGTTTTTATTGTAACTGATAATTGCATTGTAATGACAGTGGCACACCATGGCCAATGCATTGGCCAGGTCTCCATCTCCAGGTCGTCACATGGGGTTAAGCATGCATTCCGCGGACCCCTTCGTACCGCAGACCAGCATTTTAATTATCCCATTGTGTGGCATGCCTGACCCGGCCAGGCCATATTGAATCGCATGTGGCGTGAAATTGCCGAGAAATCGGGCAAACAAAAATCTCAGAATCATTAATGGCTTTGTGATCAATTTGGGCGGGAATATTCGCACCCAACAATATGTTGGATGCCTTTAAAATGGCTGAAGAGCTAAAGACATGGCAGCCACCAGTTGAGGTCGGTCAAGGGTTGTGGCGGTTACTCGGTGACGCATTTCCGCTGGGCATGAAACTGTTATCAACAATTAATTAAATAAAAGCCCGATCATTAGGCCACGATTTGTGGGGCGTTTCCGTTTCCGCTTGAGGCTGACCTCAACACATGGCCAACCCCAGCACAACGCACTGCCACACATTAAGCGATACGTTCCATATAGCACAGGACTCACTGCGAGAGTCAGCCGGAGTCCGGAGCAGATATCTCCAATGTATCCTATATTCTACACTTGAAAATAAACTATTGCTCTGTTACACTAATCAACTCGATAAGGAAATGACTATAAAAACTGGTATATCATAATGTGATATTTTCTTGTAAAAGAAGAAATGTTTCCTTTACAATCACTCATATATTATTTATTTTCTCAGTGTAATGGGGGTGGCAATCAGCACCCATACGTGCGGAGGATGCACAGCCCCAGCGGTCTGGCATTGTTGCTGCTTGATGGCCAGCGGCCACTGGGTGGTGGATCCTGTTGTTGCTGTTGCTGCTGCGCTCCTTGATGCCATATCATCATCATTGTTGTTGCTGCCGACTGTGATTTGTTGGCATCGTTACTGTTGTCGCTCTCAGCAAACTGTGCATAAATCGTGCACACCTACATTATGTTGCGATAAATCTGTAATGACCAGAACAGTTCAACTGGGCAACCGACTGGCCAACACACTGGGCAACCGAGCATCCAACCAACCGACAACAACTGAACACGCACGCACACTGCCAGTCATAGCCTTATGGCCCGGGGAGCGGAGAGGCGGCCAAGTTAATTTGCGTGTGTTTAAATGTGCGTAATTATTGTTTATCTACCATGCAATACAATTTAACCGCATACGGGGTTTTTATACCAATTGCAATCTATTGAAATATTTCAAATGAACATGAGTACAAGCAAATTAAGAGGATTAATGGGAGTGTGCAGTGCGGCTGGAAATGGGAAATAATGTTCTGAAATTGTGCCGAGATTTGATCTTGCTGTTCGGTATTTTAAATATATATTATAGTCATCCTGACCTCGCCATATCATGGCCTTGAACTCTTGGGAAAAGGCGTAACAAAGAAATTACAACAGAATAATTGCTTCGAATTATTAAAATCAAATAAAGTCATGGCGATGATTGCATTAAAATGTCTTTTTAACACACTCAATTCATTTCATTTGATTTGCTTCGTCAGTATTCAAAATGCACTTGCCGGGTGCTCTACTTTTCCAACTGTGTGTAATCTTATACACCTTGAAATGGGTAAGTTAAATTAGTTTATATAACTATTAATATTTTATACAATTATAATATACCAGGTCTCTCCAAAAGTTGAGTTTACGAACATTAAGTGTACATCTTTGGATTTGAGTTTTAGCAGCTTTGATTATTGCCACATAAAGGCAGTCAATCGCAGCTTCAAATATCTTTCCCTAAAAGTTAAACTACACAAGGTTCCCATTACCAAAATCAAGGTATCTATGCAAATGTTTCCAATTTAATTGAAACTTCTAAGATTTTATATATTTTAACAGGTTAACATTGCTGTTCTGAAGCGATTTAATGGCTACAGACCATTCATGTACAATGTTACCGTGGATGCCTGCAGGTTTATTAGAAATCCAAAATCGAATCCCGTTTTTTCATATCTGTATAGCCTATTCAAGACCTACTCCAATATGAATCATACATGTCCGTATAATGTAAGTTATTTGGGACTCAAAATTCCCCTTAAACTAAAACCAGTTTCCTTTCAGCATGATTTAATTGTGGAAAAACTAAATACGCAATTTGTAAATAATCAAGTAACCGCTGTCTTGCCAGTTCCCGAAGGCGACTATATTTTTGAAACAAATTGGTTTGCAGAAAATATTCAACGTGCTGTGGTCCGTGTATATGGCACTCTTTCCTAAAACATATCCATGTCAGAAATTGGTTGTATTATACTTACCAAAGAATACTTAAGCTTACATGTATAGTTTAAACCTTCAATATATTACTAAAGAAGGGATACTAATAATATGAAAATATATTACTCATTCGTTATTCGCTTTAAAACCAAATAATATTTCCAGATTATTTGCACACATGTTGTGCCATTAAACTAATTGAAAAGTAGTGAATGCAAATAATTCCCTCAATGAGATCAGCTCAAAGTTCATATCACAAATGCTAAGCGCCAGCTAAAGCTGAACTTCCTTTTGAGGATTGCAAACTTCGCTGCAAAATACGATTGCAATGAAATTAGCACGAGCATCCAACAATTTTATAGAAATATTCTGCTTAAATCATTTGTATAATTTCATTCCCATTTCCCCAAGGCAGCCCCTCCATCTCCCAGAGTGCCATATGAAACTTTCACCTTTGCGTGGGTGCTTGGTGACTTGAGAGTTGGGGCCTTTTTGGGGGGGAGAAAAGGGAACATTTGCCAGCCTCGCAGTCAGCTTGGAGTAATTAAGTTAATTTGTCTTGACTGCCGGGCCAGAGATTTCAACTTTTGCCTCATGTTCTCGTTAGCAGGCGAACGTTGATTACGCTGCACATTAATTTAACCATTTCATTTTGTCATTTTATTACGCGAGTGGCTGGCAGGGGCTCCAAGTATGTCTCCCCCTATCAATTGCGACTTTAATAAACTCTTTTGCTCAAATTATATTTACGAGAGGTCACAGAGTGCAGAAAAATTGACAAGGAAAATGGGTTTTGGGGAAAATGGGGTAGGCAGCATATTTCGCAAATGTGCAAAAGTAGATACGCCAAGTCTGTCACTGTGTGATTGCACTGAGGGGAATAATTATAAATTTAACAATCCACAAGACAATTTTCATAGAACGAAATCATCGTATTAATATATATAAATATAAATTATACCATTTACATTTAAAAAATAAATTCATTTGAATCATTTCGATAAAAAATATACTTTAGTTTGAAGATTTCTCAATAATTTATTATAATTTTTGTATTTTATAAAATCGTTGCTGAAATTAAATGTATAAATATATTTTATAATAATAATAAAATTATAATAATAATAATAATTCCCAATTTTCTTCGGTACATTTGTGGAGGCATCATTAAGCGCTCCATTTTGATACTTAAAACTTTGCGGCGCTGCTGCTGCTTGTGGCAGACACACCAGCAACACCAACTGCAACAGCAAAATCAGGAACTGCAGAAGCAACACCAACAACACTGACAGCAACTGCAACTCGCGCCCAGCGAAAGGCGACGTAATTTTTAATAGTTTCGCAATTAAATCGTAAAATTTAACAACTTTGCGCACTTCTTAACGAAATTGCGCAGCCAGCGAACGAAACTGACACTGATGCATTTCCGGTTAGCCAGCAGGGCCGAGTAGATGAAGGGGCTGAGCGGGAGCTTCCGGGTTTCCGGGGTGGTGACTTTCGGGGGAGTGGCCAACTGCATTGCTCTTAATGAGAAAATCTCACCCGAAAAACTTTTTCACCCCTCACGCTTTTCATGCTGTTTGCGTTGATGCGTTGTTTGCTTGTTTGTTGCTGCTGCTGCTGCTGCTCAACTTTTAACTTTCTCTTTCATATCTTTATTTTCGGATTACTTTTCTGCTTCGCTTACATATATTAAACAAGCCCCACATTAATTATTGCCCTGGCTTAAGGAAAGAACTGAACAGAAAGTGCAGGCAAACGCAGGGATGCTGCCGGTTCGGATATGACCTGATTTTGGGCTGAATTCCAAAAGAAACTGTATTGTTTCATTATTGAAAAGTGTTTTTTACCTTTACCCAAATGTTTTGGGAAGAAATGATACTAATGTTTTGTATAAATCTTACTAAAAAATGGTACGGTTTATTTTGAAACTTTTCAATTAGATTTTAAACCTTTTAGTTAGATAGTCTTCCTACCTAGAACTAAGGGCACTTTTTGTGCCCACTGCCTTTGGCCATGCATCAGCAGGAAACCGAAGCGAATTGGCAACTAATCTAAGGCCTCCGCACTCGCATGCATATAAATCCAGCAACCACAGACAGATTCCGCCACAGTTGCAGGCGGTGACCGGGCAGGCACCTCAAATTAAATTAAGCCATAATTTATTTCCCATGGAGACGGGCAAACGAAAGAGACGACGCCGCCGCAGGCCCACAGAAGCTCAAAATTCAAATGCCCAACTAAAATATGGCACTAAGAGCGACTGCTCCTTCGCCTGCTTCTGATGCTCCTCCGGCTGCAGCGGTTAACACTCGCACACACTCGGGCAAAACGGGAGCCAGCTGAGAGGAGGATTTATTGGAATTCCATCAATGGAGCGGCCCAGAGCTCTGCTGCTCCCAATTCGCATGGCAGGCATCCCACTGTGACCCGCACGAACTCTAACTGCAGGACATGCTTTGAGCCGCAGTGTTGCCAGCTGTCTGTTACCAAAAGGAGCTAACCGGAAGCGCATAGAATGGCTATTTATATTTCTAAAAATGCTGTAGAAAGTTAAGGAAGAAATTATTTTTAATGCACGCTTAAAAGATTATGATTAATTTCTTTGAAGCATTGGAAGTTTTATTGCTATTTAAGAGCTTCTTGTTAATAGATATTTCTGCTTTTCAAACTAATATGTGCAAGCTAGGGTCGTATAATATATAATTTGTTAGGATACCTATTGTAGCTTAAATAAAAATATCTGAATTTAGCTAGATGGCATCACCGTTGAGCCTGGGAAGCCTGCTCTCGGTTCAGGACTTGGACAGGAGGACACTGTGTGACCCGCAGAAGGCACAACGAGGGACTTTGGCACGCATGGCTCATCATAAATACAAAGCAGGCCGGCGCTTTGTCAGGCAGCCTTCGACACTTTTATTGGCCCGGACCCGAGTCCTCCGCCTTGCTGCATGAGCAACCTCTATTTCTGGGAAAGAGGTGGCCGTCATCGATATGCCAGCAGCATCCTGCACTTGCCTGCCACTGCTCCTTGCTATTTCTCCGCGAATCCCCATCCCCATACCCATACCCATCTCCATCACAATCCCCTTTCCCCAACTTCGTGCTACTCCTGCTCTTTGTGCCAGGCAAATGAAATTGAAAATTTTTATGATGCCGACACCAGTGCTAGCAAATAGAATGCTGAAAATTTAAGCAGCTGTATAAAGTTGGTTAATCTGCCGTCTGATTAAGACGAGATTGAGCGGCGTCTGGGGCCGGACACCTCTCGACATTAATGGCAAAGTCTGTATAATTTTTATGACCACCGATGGGCTACACGTGCTGCTCGGAAATGTTTATGACTCGGCTTCTGCAAGACTGCAGCTTAAATATTGTGTAGGGCCGAACTCTTGAGCTAAACGAGTTACCATTTTGGGGGCGATGGCGGGGAGGGACCAAGCAAAAGTAGCTGGAAAGTAACAAGCTTAACCGCAAAAGTTTTAAATAAACTTTTGTTGCTGTTGTTCCTGGCAAAAATATATTTGCAGAATGCGTTCGCGCAAGCGGCATAACTATAACTTCCGATTCCGTTGGCTGGCTTTAGTTACACCGGAAAAATAGTAGTTCTCAAGGAAAATTGTAAAGTTGTCAATAGAATTTTAAGTCAATATTCATTTTGTTTTTGAGTATTTATTTAATGTTTTATTTATTTTATTAATGAAACTACAACAAGTATTTTAAATTAGAATAAAAAGTACACTAGTAAATGTGTTACATTTTTTTGTGTGTGAAAATGTGAATGGAAATGTTGTGTGGATGGGCGTCTATGGGAGTCCGCTGCCTTGTAATACAGTTAAATATAAATTCAAAAAATATACGAGTGTACGGGGGAGTTTGGCGAGAGCAACTTTGTTTGCCACTATTTTCCTTGTTGGTTTTTACTTTCTGCTTTTTTGCCTTGCCATCTTTTTCTCCTCCGCCCGTTTGCCTGGCTTTTTTCTTTGCATTCGTTACTTATGCAATTTGCATGAGCGGCAAACACCCACGAACAACTAACAAGTCTGCCTGGCAACAACAACAGCAACGGCGGCAACATCGCCGCAGCAACAATGCCAGCAGCCAGCAAACTTCCGCCTGATGAATAAGTGTCTGCCCTGCCTCCATATTTGCCCCTGTATCCCAATGTTTAGTTTGCCCAACAGTATGCAGAGAACAAAACATAATAAAAACAGCTTCCTAATTGAGAAAATAAAAATCAACAGCTATGATAACCACTCAAATGGGGACAATGGGCCAGACTTTGTCAGATGAATGGGATTCCTTAAGTATATATAATATTAGGTACATAAAGTAGTAATATCAATCAACTAAATTCAATTAACTAAAAATTATTTCATTTAAAAATATAATGCATGTTTAACTACAACTCTTATAAATGGAAAGTCTCTTTAAGGTTTTCTTGCTGGTTTAATTCACTGCAAGAAGTGAGTCAAATATTTGTTGATAAATACAAAGAAATGCTTAAATTAAACGTACTTCTTGAAAGTCTTTTGCATATTAAAAGTTTCCTTAAAAAGCGAAAGTTGCAATGGCCTTCTGATCCGTCTCCTTGGTCCTTGTCCAGCTCATTTAACCCATTGTGCCGCCGCAGGGGAAACGGCAGCTTCAGCCTGAAAGGAATCCGCAACAGCTACTGAAACTGCAGATGCAGCTGCTATGGCAACTGCAACTGCGGCGCAGCGAAGCCTCAGTCCGGCATAAATTTTACGCCGCACAAGTCGGACTTCCGGTCGGAGAGACCGCCATGTTGTTATGCATTCAGGCTGCGTCTGTGTGCGTGTGTAAAAATGCAGTTAAAGCGAAGGAATGAATCGGGAGCTGGGAGAGCAGACCAACCAACCGAAGGACCAACGGACCGACAAACCGGACCGGGTCCAAATGAAGTTATACCAATGCTGATAGCCGAACAAGCGCCGCGGACTCTCATATTAATTTCTGCTATCTCGGGGACGCTTGCCACG